TAAAAGCTCGTCAACAAAATCAATTGGTTTGTTTATAAAATTTTCATGTATTAATCTTAATTGATTTTCATAAATTTCTAGGAAGGTAAAAAATTGAATCAAAAAGATTCAGTTATTGATGTACTTAATCAATTATGTCGAGATCAATACAGTATAGAAGAACTTCGAACTCGTCCATTACCAGAAGGTATAATAACTTCTTTTCGAATTTTTTTTAAATAAATTATATATTTGTAGGTGTTGATCCATCAAAAATTGAATCTTATCTTTCTGAAACAGATTTTCAAGTATATTTATTAAATTTTATTATCGTTATTTCCTATTGATTTGTTTTTTTAGAAACAATTTCATATGTCTAAAGACGAATTCTACGCTTTACCATATTGGAAACAAACAAATATTAAAAAACCACTTGGCTTTTTCTAATTCATTTTATACTATACTTTATATTTCATTGACAATTCTTTTACAATGAAGATCTATCAAACATTTCTTTTCGTTGTCGAACTTTGCCAACGATATTATGTGTGTGTATTGTTTGTTATATACATATATAAGAAAAAACATCTTTCTTTTCTTTCTTTTTTTGTTAAAATATCTTACAAATATTTCTCCTCGTTTGTTTTATATCTATTTTTCCACGATGCATGAATATGATCTTCTTTTTACAAGAAATATAATAAAAGAATTCGATTTTTTTTTCTATTTTTACGTATGTAAAAAAGAAGAAAATATAAGAAAAAAAAATATTTGCACAATGAAAGAAAATTTCACTGAAATTCTGTTTTCAATCCTTAGATTAAAATTTAATCATGTGACGTGGTTTTAGAATATCGAATGTTCGCGAACAAATAGAGTTGATTGGGTTTTAGATATAATATTTTTAAGGCTTCTATTTTCATATTTCGAAGTATGACTATGCAAATCTTGAAAAAAAAACAAATTAGTAATGAAACCTTACCCGGTCGATAATGTTATTTTAACGAAAAAAATAAAGATTTTCATTTTTTAATCCAGATGCGAAATGTAATTAAAAGTAAATCCAGGAGAGCAACCTGTACGGTATAAATAGCGATTGTAATGCCTTATTGTAACGCATTCATCATACATACTCCCTTTTGGAAATAGCTGTTGTCAATACAACAATGCAATTAGTTTCCAGCATTCTGATCTTAGCTATCGCACTTGGCACCTATGCTTCAGCTGTTCGTGTCGGTTCATTTAATTTACATCAATATGGAAGTAAAAAAGCAGCCAATCCATCATTAACAAATACTGTTGCTCAAATCATCAATGATTTCGATTTAGGAATCATTCAAGAAATTAGTGATGTTTCATTGAAAGCACCATATGTTTTATTTGATGAACTCAATAAAGTTTCACCAAGTCCATACACAATGACATTAAGTGAACGTGCTGGTCGATCAAACACAAAAGAACAATATATTTTCTTCAATCGAGAAAGTACATCTGGTCTTGAAGTTGTTGATGCTTATCTTCATCCAGATATCGAAGATAATTTCGAACGTCCACCGTAAGAGAAAACTTTTCTTTTGTTTTTTTCTTCTATTTTTCTAATTATCATTTAGTTTCATTGGTACATTTAAAGTTAAAAAACCAGGTAATTCCGGTGTAAAATTATTCACTATTATGGATGTTCATTTACGACCTGATGGTGCATACACAGAATTACTTGCTATGCGTTATGTTGTCCGTGATTTCATCAGCTCACATCCACAATATTTTGATCAAACAGAAACATCACTACAAGAAGCTTTAGACCGAAATGTTGTTGATGCTACACCTGACAATAAACCAAGTTTGAAATCTAATCATCCTATTTTAATCGTTGGTGATTTCAATGCTGATTGCACATATATTTCACCTACACGTCAAAAATTACTCCAGTAAATTTAATTAACAAAATAATTTCTATACATTTGATATATTTCTCTTATTTTAGAACAATCAATTATGTTGATTTCTCATGGGTGATTACCAATGAAGTCAAAACAAATACACGACAAACATGTACCTATGATCGTATTTTAGTCAACGGTGATAACTTTGTTAATGCTATTGTACCAAATAGTAACACAACAGTTAACATTGCAGAAAAATTTGGCTTTAATTTAGCCCAAACTTTAGCTATCAGTGATCATATTCCAATCAAATTCGATATCAATTGGTAAAGAAAAATGAAATTGAAATAATTATCAGAATGCACTTTTTTGTTTTTAAATCTTCATTCAAATAAAATTTCTTCTGATTATATAAATCGAATATAAAAAAATTCTATATCATTTGTATTGCATTTCTCATGCTTATAGAGATGAAAATCATTTTATTAAGTTTTTGATTAGTAACATTTGCACAATCAAGTTCAATTAGTAGAAAGAACACATAAAGTTTTGATTATTACAAGAATTAACAAAAAAAAAATAAAGTTCATTTAAGAGAGAGAGTAAGAAAACATATAAGAAAGTTATATTTGTACAAACATAATGAAAGGAGAGCTACAATTAATAACACAATATAAAAAATAAATCCTAGATTTTGTTTTGATTGTTATTAATACTATTTATATGTTTATGTGGCTTTAGTTTTCTTACCACTACGATTAGCAGCAGTTTTGCTAGTTGATGTTGGAGCTTTATCAGCTGAACGACCTTTTTTTGGTTGTTTAGCTGGTGTAACATCTAGACGAAAAAATTTCCGAAAATTTAATTCAATGAAAAATTGCGGCTCTAACCTTCATCAGTATTATTTTCAATTTCTTCGTCATTTGTACGATCTTCAAATGGTTCATCAGTTTGGCCCTTCTTTTTCGTTGATGAAATAGTTGTTTTCTTTCCAGATGCTGGTGCAGATCGTTTTGTGGGTCCTTTTTTTGTTGTAGTTTTAGATTTATCATCAGCTATTTCGTCTTCATCTTCAGATAATTTAAGATCATCATTTGTTGATTTTTCTTC